AAATAAATATTAAAATTCCAATTATAACCCTTACAAAATCAGGGGTATTACAGGGTCCGTAGCGAATGAATTACTCACTGGCGCTGAGCCTGAGGGGAAGTTTGCTGAGCCGAACACTTAAGGTCCGTAGCAGATAGATTACTCCCCGGCGCTGAGCCTGAGGGGAGGTTTGCTGAACCGGACACTTAGGGTCCATAGTAGATGGATTACTCCCTGGCGCTGAGCCTGAGGGGAAGTGTACTGAACCAGACACTTAGGGTCCGTAGCAGATGGATTACTCCCCGGCGCTGAACCTGAGGGGAAGTGTGCTGAGCTGGACACTTAATGTCCGTAGCGAATGAATTACTCGCCGGCGCTGAGCCTGAGGGGAAGTTTGCTGAACCGAACACTTAGGGTCCGTAGCGAATGAATTACTCCCCAGCGCTGAGTCTAAGGGCAAGTTTGTTGAGTCGGACACTTAGGGTCCGTAACAGATGGATTCCTCCCCGATGCTGAGCCTGAGGGGAAGTTTGTTAAACCAGACACTCAGGGTTTGTAGCGAATGAATTACTCCCCGGCGCTGAGCCTGAAGGGAAGTGTGCTGAGCCGGACACTTAGGGTCTATAGCGAATGAATTACTCCCCGACACTGAGCCTGAGGGGAAGTGTGCTGAACCATTCGTTTATGCATTTTTTTTTTTTTAATAACCTATCATGAGGCCGAAGATTCAAAAATGATAGGAGGCCAAGAAAGCGAGTAATAGTGACTGGGAAGTTTCCTATTCGTTTATTTTGGAGACTTTCTTCCAATGAGATTTTCTTCTTGGCGATCGAATGTGGTGGATTATGTATATATCAACTGCATCCCTTTTCTACTTCTATTCGATGTGGGACATAGATTAAATTTCGTCAAATATAGGTCAATAATTCAAGCTTCACAAAAAGGTCAGTGTAAGGAATGCCTCTGGTATTAGGCTTGGCCGTTTTCAATACCAGTGGGCCCTTCTTACACTGCATTCAACTATTTTAATATTTCCATATATAACGGAATGCAAAACGTACTTTCTTATCGATCTGGGATAAAGAGCTTTAAATATGGGCCAGAACTTGAGTTTAAAAAGAATCATTGTGAAGAATGTCTTTTGATATCTTGGTTTTGGCATTACTTCGTGGTATAAAAATTGCATAATACGTCTTAGCATATAAAAATTGCATAATGTGTACACACAAAAATGCATAAAAATTATTGTAGGGTACTGGTATAGCCCCCATTTTTACGGAAAGAAAGAAATGAAACAGAATTGTATCCCACACCGAATATGATAGAAGCAATATAAAGAAATAAATTGACTGACAGTGGGCATAAGCAGCCTTATTTGGGTGAAGAAATTCTTGCAAAATTGACAAACTTATCTAATGGTAGTACCTTTTAAGGTGTATCGCATTCCAATGACGCGCAATGGGACGTCCGTCAGCTTCAGCTAAATAGTATGCTCCCTTCCCCACTATTTCGGTAATCCTATAGGGTGCGATCCAATTAGGTTCTAGCTTCTTTACATGAGTTGTCTCTTACTTCAAAACCCAATCGCCTACCACGAAGCTTCTGAACCTGACGCTTTTGTTATAGCTGTTGCGCAACTATTGTTGGTACGAAGCAAGCCTAATTGCTGCAGTATCCCTCTTCTCATCCAGGAGATCGAGGCTGTGTTCAAGCTGCTGCCCATTGTTTTCTTCAAGTAAAAAGAATGTCTGAAGGGTTGGAACTGCCGCCTCGGTTGGGATTACAGCTTCGGAACTGTAGGCCATGGCAAATGGACTTTCCCTGGTGGGCCGCCGTGGAGTGGTCCGGTAAGCCCAAAGCACCTGGGGGAGATTCTCGTACCATTTTGTTTTTGAGTTTCTCCAATTTCTTCTTTAAACAACTGAAATTGGTTCGGTTAGTTATTTCAGCCTGCCTATTCCCTTGTGGATGACTGACTGCAGCCAGCTTTTGTACAATTCCATGTTCGGCAAAGAATTTTCTTGTACTCTTATTATCGAGGTTTTTACCATTGTCCATCATAATGACTTTTGGTACCCCAAACCGGCAAATGATGTTGTTCCAAAGGAAGTTTTTTACTTGCTCATGGGTCACACTTGAATAAGCCTCGGCTTCCACCCATTTTGTGAAGTAGTCTGTAGCTAGCAGTACATATTCCTTTTGTTCCATGGTCTTGGGTAAAGGGTCCACCATATCAATCCCCCACTGTGCAAATGGCCATGGATTTGCCATTGCGTGCAAATCTTCGGCAGGTTGGTGCTTCATTGGACCTTGGCGCTGACATTTATCACATCTCCGGGCGTACTCTTCAGCATTCTGAGCCAAGTATGGCCAGAAGTAACCTTGAGCTAGAACCTTATGTGCGAGGGATCTGCCCCAGAATGGTTACCGCAATCTTCGTCATGAATTCGCTTCAATACTACAAGAGCCTCAGTGGGGCTTAAACATTTCAGGTAAGGACCTGAAAATGACTTCCGGTACAATTGGTTATTGATGATGGCATATTTAGCTGCGGTGAGTTCCATGCTTGAGGTAGGCTTCCAATGGATCAATCCAGCATGGCTCTCGCGGAATGACTGGGATCACCATTACCTCTTGCCGAGGGTTGATGCTAGGTTCGTCCAAGATGTCAATTAGCACAATCCGAGTTAGATCTTCATTTGTGGATGACGCTGCTGTGGCCAATTGATCCACTTCAGCATTCTCAACACGAGGTACCTGGTAGAATTCGATTTGATTGAATTCTCGTGTAACATTCTCCACAACTTCTTTGTATACTTTCATCCTTTCTTCTTTGGGATGATACTGACCTGTCACTTGATTTATAACAAGTTGTGAGTCACTAAAAACTTTTAAACACCGTACCTGAAGTCGGCTGGCCAATCGAAGACTAGCAAGTAAAGCCTCATATTCGGCCTCATTGTTAGTAATAGGGAAATTCAAGCAAATTGACTGCAGTAATTTGGTGCCTTCGGGTGTTAATAAAACAACCCCAACTCCTGCATTTGTTTGCTTCGATGAGCCATTAACCCGAAGTTCCCACTATGGTTCAGGGAGTTCTGGTAATTCGGGAGTATCCTCATATTCGAGGAGAAAATCTACTAATACTTGTCCCTTATGTGACACCTTCAGCTCATTGGTTATATCGAAAGAACTGAGCTCGATGGCCCATTTGGTAATTCTTCCAGATAAATCTGGCTTAGTGAGTATACCCCGTATAAGGTAATTGGTTAGTACCACGATGTTATAAGATTTGCAATAATGCCAAAGCTTCCTCTTTGCATAAACCAAAGCTAGGATGATTTTTTCTGCTTTGCTAGATCGTGTCTCTGCATCCGTCATTGTCTTACTTGTGTAGAAGACTGGATATTGATTCTTTCCTTCTTCTTTGATTAACACTGCACTTGTCGCTATACTAGAAATTGCTAAATACATAATAAGAATTTCTCTAGGTTTTGGAGCGGATAGAATTGGAGGTTCGGCCATATAACGTTTCAACTGATTGAGGGCCCTCTGCTGCTGAGGTCCCCATATATCCTTGTTCTTAGATCTTATGGCATCGAAGAACGGTTTGCACTTATCTGATAATTGAGATATAAACAGGCTGAGAGCTGCGATCCGACCGATTAAAACTTACACCTCCCTACGAGTTTTTGGTTCTTGATTTTGCATGAAGGCCTTTGCCTGAGCCGGGCTTACCTCTATCTCTCTTTTGTTCACAATATGGCCGAGGAATTGACCTGATGACACTGCAAAGGAACATTTGGAAGGATTCAGCTTCATGTTGTACTTCTTCAGAGTATTGAAGACTTCCTGGAGGTGCTTCGGATGGTCTTTCTTCTTCACACTTTTGACCACCATGTCATCTATATATGCTTCAACCTTCTTTCCTAACAAATTATCGAAGATCTTGTTAACAAGGCGTTGATAAGTGGCCCCAGCATTCTTCAGCCCAAAGGGCATGACCCTGTAACAATAAGTGCTATTTTCTGTAATGGAAGCAGTTTTTTCCTCATCTTCTGGATTCATAGGAATCTGATTATATCCTGAGTACGCATCGAGGAATGTAAGCCTCTCGTAGCCAGTAGTAGCATCAACCATCTGGTCTATCTTTGGCAAAGGGAAGCTGCCTTTAAGGCAGGCTTTGTTAAGGTTGGTATAATCTATGCAAACCCTTCACTTCCTATTCTTCTTTTGGACGACCACCAAGTTTGACAGCTATTGTGGATATTGCACCTTTCGGATGAAACTTGCTTACAACAGCTTGTTCACTTCTTCAACTGTAATGTGATTGCGTTCAGGGGCAAATCTTCGGTGTTTCTGCTTAACTGGTTTGAACTCCGGATCCACCTTCAGGCTATTGCAGGAGACTAAAGGGTCGATTCCTACCATGTCCGAATGATCCCAGGCAAAAGCATCTGCATTGCTTCGAATGACATCGATTAATGCTTCTTTCTCTTCAAATATGGAGGAAGAGCCTAAATAAGTGACCTTCTGGGGGTCGCCGAGGATAACTTCTATGGCTCCGAGGATCTCCTTGGTAGGCTTCGCAGCTTCTTCTTCCTCTTATACCTTAAAATACTTGGGCAGTGGGCTCTGTAATTGCTATTTGGGTGTATCCCTGGGAGTCACTCCTGGTTGAGGCTGTTTTGACATCTTCTTTGCTTCAGCCTGTGTCAGCATATAGCATTCTTTTGCAGCGAGTTGATCTCCCCATAGATTAATAACCTCTTTTCCATCTGGAGATAAGCACCGCATCACCTGATGAAGGGTGGACAGGACTCCATTCATTCGGTGTATCCAGCCTCTTCCCATGATGAGATTATAGGAATGATGAATCTCTGTTATAACAAAGTTCTCCTTCAGAATCATCTTTGTCGTGGTTACGGATAAGTCAATAACCCCAAGGGATCTACTTTTGTGCCATCGAACCCCATCAATGGGCTGAAAGTAGGTCGAATTGATGATGACGGGATCTCTAGCTATTCAAAGACCGCCTTTGTGATGATGTTGGCATTACTCCCTAGGTCTATCAAAACCCTCTTAATCATGTAATTCGACACTAAGAGACTGATGACTAATGGATCCTCGTGGGGAAGTTGAACTTTGGATAGGTCGCTATCGCCAAATCCAATACTGATGCTGCCCGAAGCGATAGCATTGACCGAGGATAACTTTCTAAGCTTATGGGCTGCCCTCAATCTGGATCTGTATACCTCCTCAGACTCTTGATCATCTTCAGATCTACCATGTATTGCATGAATAACTTTTACTTGATTACCATCTACCTTGCGAGGGTAGACCTCGCGGGGCTTCACATACTCCTTTGTTGTGAGATGATCTGCCAACTCACCTCTAGCTATCATGTTCTCCACTTGTCGCCTAAGGGATCTGCAATCATTGGTTGAATGCCCATAATCTCGATGATAAGCGCAATACTTGTTTTTGTCCCTCTGTTCCAAGGGTTGCTTCATTGGCTGCGGGGTTGTGAACTTTATCTTATTCTTTTGGAAAAGCCGAGCCAAGGTAGTTCGGAGAGGTGTAAACCCTTCCTCTATCCTTTGCCTCTTCTCAGGTGCCTGGGTGATTGGCATTGAGGTGTGCTGGCTTTTCTGGATTTTTGAATTTGGAGTTCTCTCCCGAGGCTTGTTCTCCAATGTCACGGGGTGGCGTGCTACGCTCGGTGGGCTACATTCTCTTCGAGCCAGATGTAGATCTGGGACCTGGCATTGAGAGTCTGCATGTCGGGAGGAGAATATTTGACCAAGGAAGTATGAAACTTCATCCCCTGAATCATTGCAAGTTTGAATGTTTCTGTTGCAGTCGTAGGATGACAATCTGCTATTTCCGAGGCTTCCATGTTGAATCTGGATAAGAAATCCTGCAGTGTTTCCTCTTTCTTTTGCCTTCCGGTGAAGAGGCTAGCAATATTCTTCTTTTGCTTCTTACTTCCACAGTATTGTGCTAGGAACATGGTGCGCAGAGTTACGTAATCTGGGATGGACTTGTGTGGCCTATTCCTGAACCACTCTAGTACAACTCCTGTCAAACTGGTAGGAAAAACTCTGCATATCCAAGGATCATTACGGTCGTCCAAAGCCATCTTTTGGGAGTAATGATCCAGGTGCCGAGAAGGATCTCCCGTACTGTCAAACTAAGTAAAAGAAAGCATGGTAAATTTCTTGGGCCTCTCAACTATATACACATCGTCAGTGAAAGGAGTCTTCACCAGGGAGTTTTTGTGCTCTCTGGCCATCTCAGCAGGTGTCTGAATCTTCAGGAGTCTTTTCTCATCAAAGACATCCTGTACACCAGCGCCATCTGGAATACCATTGGACCATACCGTAAGCTTATGGCTAGACTCGGCTTACTCGTCCTGCGTGCGACGAGGGAAGTTGTCTGAAGCAACGGCCTCGGTCCTTGTCCTCTGCTGTTGCTGAACCTCGTTTGGCTGAGCCTCATTGGGTCATGCCCCATTAGGTTGAGGCCCGTTAACTAGAGGAATATTCTGATTAGGGGGTGGTGCTACCGTATCATCTGGTGGTAGCGGTGGTGTCAATTGAGCCATCGCCGTTTGGAGAGTGTTATTATGCTGTTGAAGCAAGGCGATCTGAGCCACACTAGCTTTGTTCGCTTAACGAAGTACTTCAAACTGGTGTAGAAACTCTTCACGCATCTTCTGCACCAACTCAGTCTGTTGATCCGCTGAAGATCCTCCATTCGACATTCCAGATGGTAGTAATAGAATTCACTTGAAACGGGAGTGGGAATATATTTGCACACGTTTCCCACAGACGGCGCCAAAATGTAGGTGCAAAATTTCGCCCAACCAATAATGATTAAGAGAAACAAAACAACTCACTCAACAAACAATAAAAATAAACAAGAACAGTATATAGAGAAGCGTAGAATTGCTTGTATGTTCGGATCCCTTTTATTGGAGGTCTTGACCTCTATTTATACATAAAAAATAGTAGAGTTATGGTAGGACTCGCATTGCTTGTCCTCCAATTCTTTCTATATAGACATTCTTTACAATTAGAATTCTTTCCATTGTTTAATTTTCCATCCACAGAACTTGCTTTGTGTAGAACTTTCTATTGCAGAGTTCCTCTTTTATGGTAAATCATTCAACAAGCAGGATTCGTTCATTCTTGAATAACTGGGCTGGCTATAGTATTAACCGGCTGGGCTTAAATAATGGGCCGGATGTTTAATATAATGAGCAGATCGGGCTAACACTTTCTTGATTTGGCCTGGATAAAGGAAAGAGGGCAAATAACAGTGATCCTGGGCTAAGAGTACATTCAATTTGGGTTTGAGCATGATAGGCTTTTTGGAAAATAGATTTGTGCTCGTGATGACATGGAGTAATCTTATTGGAGGGGATTTTTTCCCTCCACATTACTTGTCTTTGATATATTATTTTTGTGGCGTGTTGCTTCATATATAATCCTCGATCGGGAGGTGTATTTGATAAAAAGGACCACAGGGGTTTATGAGGAGCTTAAGAAGGATAATGTTGGAGTCTTGTCCCATCAGGAATGATTGTGTCTAGGTGGTGTAATAAAATTTTGACACTTGTGTCAAAAAGTAAAATGAATTAAACCATTTTAAAGGGTAAAGTGCATAAAACCTCCTGAACTTTCTCCTCTTTCTAAAAAAAAAAAACCCCTTGAACTATTATTTGGACAGTTAACCCCCTAAACTATTTCAATTTTTGTAAAATACCTACTCCGTCAAACTTTTCATTGATTCAACATAAAGATTTCACCTCTACAGGTCACGTGACCAACTCAATTTTTTTTAAGACACTATTACCCTTACGACCCATATTTACTGGGTTAACTCGTTTTAAATCCCAATCCATGTTCCCACCTTTCTTTGTCAAACAATTCAAAGCCTAATAAATTTCTCTCACACTTATGCCTCTTTCTCCCTTGGAAGTTGAAAATCCATGTCAAAGGAAATTAGAACACAACAACAACAATACTGGTCCCATAGAAAGATATATGTGTATATATATATATATGTATGTATATGAGCTAGAGATAACCATATATATACAGATAACCTTAATAAATTTCTCTCCACTTCTGCCTCTCACTCCCTTGGAAGTTGATGATCCATGTCAACTGAAATTAGAACACAACAAAAACAATACTTGTCCCCATAGAAAGATATATGTTATAATATATATATGTATGTATGTATATGAGCTAGAGATAACCATGTATATTCAGAGAGCACTACAAATGGAAATCCATAGAGAATAAACTCAAATTTTGTTCACTCTTAATTCTCAACCATTCTCTCTCGTTCGATCCACATTTAGTTGATTAATTCTTCAACTCACTATTTCTACAGTTTAAATTAGAAAACCCAATTCAGATTCTGTATTATAGAGAGAGAACAAGCCCAATTTTGATTATCTCTTGAATAGTTCATCCCCGCATTCTTTTATGGAATTGAAGATAATGATTGATAATTATTTTTTAATGTCATGGAACTGTTGCCTATCTTTTAGAGTTTGTTTTGCTGACTAATTCAAGAAAGGAAGAAAGAAAGAGAACAGAGCTTCAATGGAGGAAAAAAATATGAAGTGTTATGTTGAGCTCAAAAAGTTATTTCTCTCTACAATACAAATCAGAGAGAGTTTTTCTGGAACCTAATCAAAGAACTCCGGATGGAACGTGATCGGAAAGGGTCTGGCGAGCCATGGAATAAGAATCCAACATTCAGCTACAAAAGCAGCAAAGAAATTGAGATCTATGAGCTCGACGATGATGAGAATGAAGAAAAATGAGACAGAGACCCATAACCTAACTTTCTGTATATTACTAATTACTTATTCACTCTATTATATCAATCAAACCCATCACCATCCACGACTCTTTGACCCCATTTTCTTTTTTAAGTTTGCTATTTTTGTCCTTCCCTATCCATCCAAACCCAATAGATAAATTGTTGGAGAACTCTTGCAGTAGATCATGTGCAAATGAAGGGATTGTATGGCGCTAGAAATCAATATAACCAAACAATTGTGACAAGGTTGAAGATGTCAAGGTGAAATCAGCTGTTGGGTTTGGAATTAAGAATGAAGATGATTTCAATGGCCGAGTTTGGATCAAACAACGATGAAGTACAAGTTAGCAAGGAATGATTCAGCCTATATATATATATATATATATATATATATATATATATGTATATACATATATAATTCTGTGAGAGCTTTATGCATATAATATAACTGAAGGGAAGGATTGTTTGCCGTGAGAAATAGATATAACAAGCAGTATAGTATTATGAACTTCTGATGTGATGTCTCTTTTTAATTGGTCAATAAGATTGCCTAATCACGTCAGCATATTAAGTTGGAAAATAAAAGAACAGCTGCCCTTCACCTTAAGGGCAAAAAAGTAAATTACTTTTTTCCATTAACAATTTTGACGGATTGCCCTAGAATGGAACAATTCTATAGTTCAGAGGGTTATTTTTAATTTAGGGGGGTTTAATGCACTTAACCCCCATTTTAAACGAGTTAACCCGATCTCAATCTCTCTACCCATTTGAGTTATTACATAGTTACATTTCCAAAATCAAGAAACCTCATTTCAGCCATAGTTCTCCACCTCTCTGGGATCCTCCATCGCCCTTTCAACTCTCTTCCTCTGCCACTCAACACCACAACACCCACCAAACCATCTCACAAAAGCAAACAAACAATTACTCAACCCACAACGGAAATCCACCACAATGCGTCTCTTCACTCCATAATCACCACCAAACAATCATTACGATACTCTCTAACTCCTACTCCACTCTTTCTCTCTCTACTTCTTATTTCCTTTGTCTCCGTTCTCTTGTCGCTGTCGAATCGTCCCCAAAGGAGACGATATCACTCGATGGCTGTGATTCCAAGCAGTGGCTTCTTGTTACAGAGAAAATGGTAGTAGGAGAAAGAACTGATCTCTCAACTGGTGGCTGTGTAGATTTTTGGAATTTTTGTTTAATGAGGGGGTGGTGAAGTGAGGGTGGTGCTGTTGGTGGTGGAGGCGGAGATTCAGGAGTGCCGGCGGTTAGGGATTTGGAATGGAGATTTCAAAGAAAGGGATTTCTTTCACATGGGTCTACGCCGATACACTTCTTAAATGGGTCTAATTTATTTTTATAATTTTTAATATTATATTATTTCTTATCACACATGTCAAATTTTCATTCAACCACATCACTTGGATAACACAATCTGTCCCGATAGGACAGGAAGTATTGTCTGCTTAAGAATGTTGCTTTACTTTTTCTTTGACTAATTAATTTGTAATATATATATTTGTTGAAATATATAAATATTTTCATATAATTGTAGAACAAAATCCTCCACCAATCATGGTGATCCGGCCAATTTACTTCCAATTATAAATTTTTTTATATAATGGTGGAGTAAAATCCTCTATCAATTATGATGCCTCCTTTAACTATTGTACACCTTCCCTATTTTCTTATCTTTACCGTGCCTATATATAGGTTCTTTGTACTCAAGTAAAATATATCTTAATAATAGAAATGTAACCCTTAATGTCTCTTTGTCTATGGATGTAACACTTAGTGTTGAACCTTGTATGTGCATGTGTTCTCCGTCTCTTTTTCTTCCTTTTTCTTATTTGCATTTCTTATTTCCGCATGCAAAATTTAGCATGGTATCAAAGCCACCGCCGGGGATGACACTATTAATCCCATCCCCAGATGACACTATCAATCCCATCCCCAGATGACACTATTCCTTCGTTGTCTAAGTTTCCTCCGCTTTTAAGTATTCCTCCAGGAAAACCAACGAGATGCCTCGTTCAGAGAAGCCCCGCCTAAGGAAGCCTTGTTGTTTCCGTAGGGAAACCCAACAAGATTCCTTGTTCAGAGATGCTCAACGTGTTGGATTAGCTCCGTCACTGCGCTACCATGCGCCTCAAGTGGTAATCCCACTCTTCAATGTGCTTTCACGTACACTAGCGGTAATCCTGCACCTCAGAGTGTCGGATCAGCTCCGTCATCGCGCCACTACTCACCATTAGTGGTCATCATACGCTCACACGCGTTTTCAACGTG